TTTAACAAATTCTAAAGCTCGAAAGATCTAATCAAGGTTTCGAAAAGCGGTTGCGGTAACTAGAACGTGATTTTTTTTTTTATTTTTCGCACAATTTGAAAAAATTTACTGATATGCATATTTTTTTTTTTCAAAATCACATTTATTGGGATTTAAAATAGATCTTGATGAATTTTTGTTAGTTTTTAAGTATCATCTAATATATTTTACATTTTTAAATTAGTATAAAATGAGCTTTTTATATTTTGTATCAATAGTTAATGACTTTAAAAATAAATGATTTTAAATGTCTACAAAATTATTTTTAACCAATACTTGAACTAAATAAATAAAAAATACTTACAATTATTAAATGAAATGATTATAAAAATAAAAATTGCTTTTGATTTTTTTTAAAGACATTTTTAGACAACACTTTACTGCTAATTAAATAAAATTATTTACAATTAAGTATTAAATGAAATGATTATAAAAATAAAAATGTGCCATAAACACAAATTATTTTTGAGCTATTGACTTTATTTATTTTTGTAAAAGACATTTTTAGACAACACATTACCGTAACAAAATAAAAAAATTTACAATTAAATATTAAATGAAATGATTATAGAATAAATACAACAACTATTTATATATTTTTATTTTACAAGCTAATGTAATGAAATAAAAAATTTTAAAAATTTATAAAAGAAAAAAAATTCGTACAAGGTTTTTTTTTTTATTTAGGCTTGGATCACTTTAGTATTTGTTCTTTTATATATATATATATATATATATTAGAAAGAAAGCTATTCAGAATAGTGTAAAATCGTGTAACAGGCCGTTACAGCTGTTATGACACCGTTACGACTGTTGTGTAATACCGAAACAGCCGTTATACATGTAAATTTTCGTCACATTGCAAAAACAAGTTCAACGGGTAGTGTCTACTGCTGCAACCGTTATGTAACACTGTTTTTTAAAACCTTAGATCTAACTAATGACAATTTTAACTACTATCAGCAAAAAGTATAAAAAAATAATATATTTATAATTGCAATACACATTTTACATTTTTAAATATACATTTACACACTTTTTCAACATTAACAATAACTATAAAAGCATATTTTTAGCATTTTCCTATTAAAAACAGGTCCAGTTAATGACAACCTTAAGCTTGGCTGTCAATAGAAAGCACATAATGACAAAATATTTATATTTTCAGTACACAAATCAATATTTCAAAATACTTTTATATATTTTTACACATTTTTTAACACTAACAATAGTATTAAGAGCAATTCCAATCAAATTCTTCAGTTTTTACTAGCTAATAAAATATAAAAATGGTATGTTATTTATTTTGCCTAATTCTTTTTATATCTAATGTATTCTAACACTACTATTTATTTTATTTTACCTATTTCTACACATTAATTGTTTAAATAGCCTCCCAAGACTTTTCAAATATAACTAGAATTAAAAAAAATTGTTAAAATAGTATTACAATAACTAATCCGTTAGAGTGACTAAAATATGATAACGCTAGCTAAAATAGCTACCAGACCTCATTTAAAGAGTCTTTAAGATATTCTAAGAACTATTTTTAACATTTTGTATTAAAAGTAATTGACAGTACTATTTCTTCCTTCTCAAATTGTTTATTCAATTTTCACATTTGTGTTCTTTCATTGCTTATAAATATCATTTTTTTTAAATATATATATATTTTTTTATAAATTAAAAGATCTTATTTTTGTAAATAAAGTCTTTAAACTTATTGAAAACAAATACATTAAAAAATATAGATAAGGGGAATAAATGATAATTTATATGCTACGTTGTTAATGTATTAGTCAAATATTAAGACATTTTAAAAAATTATACAAACTGTATGAAAATAAATATGTTAAAGAATGTATAATTTTATTAATTATTTTTTACTAAAATAAAATTTAAATATAAAATATATTTTATTACATACTTTTTTAAATAGATTGGGTGCACTCATCAGAGCTCAAATCGGCAAATCCCAAATCATAAACTATAGATTTTGCTCAACAATGATTCATCCCATTAAAAATATCACCATTAATAGCACTAATGCATTAAAAAAGTAAAAATAAAAAATAAAAAATACAACTCTAAGACTAAAACATCACATCATTAATGACGAAACTCACTGCCACCTAATTAGTGGGAGCACTAATTAGTGCTCCCAAGCATTTTTCAATTTCCCACGACCCAATGCTCTCCTACCCTTCATCATTTTCAGTTAGACAAGTGAAAAAAGTGAAGGAACAAATAAACAATGAACTTACAGAGGAATAAAGAAAGATTTTTTTTTTCTCTCTCTCCCCCTCAACAACCATACTTTCTTGATTTTACATCACTTCTTGTTCTGCATCTATGTATGTATTATGTCTGGGAAAACCCATGATGTATATTTTATAATTAAAGAAAGAAATTATATAATTTTAAATTTTTAAATTATAATTAAAAAATTATAATTAAACAGTTCATGAGGCATAATTAATAATCTCATGAATCATAACTAAAATAAGATCTTAACTAAAGAAAAAAATTAATTATAATTAAAAAAAATGACATAATTTAAAAGCACATATAACTAGAGTATATATGGTAGAATTTCCTATTATGGCCTTGTTTGGCAAAGGTATTTTTTTTATTTTTTTGGACTAAAATCTATAAAAAGGTAAAATATGTTAAAATAACTAAAAATGTCACATCAAATTTATAATCATTTCATTTTTTTTTTCACAAATATCATATCTAATTACAAAAAAATTTAACCATTTTCTCAAATACAAATATTTTAACCAACTAAAAAAGTTACAAATTAGGGAAAATTATTTATAAGTCCTGTACGGGGAGCAAATATTCAAGCAAGCCCGTACTCCTTTCTTCTAAGCTCCTGTCTGTCCGATCGACCTACGAGCATAACGGCGGTAAGTTACCCGGCGATGTGTGGCCGGAAAACCCCTCCGACGATCAAGTTAGCGCGCACACACACAGGGATAGATAGAGAGGAGAGAGTTGAGAGTTGAGTGTAAGTGTATATTTCACCAAATGTTCATCTGTCAAGCATGGGGACTCGCTTATATACTTTCTGCGCCCCAAATCTACTCTCATTAGTCTCTCGACACGTGGTGCTGCTATCCCATCTGTCAACACAAATCTAGCTGATCATCACCTAACCAAACTGTCAGCCCACACTAACCAAACTGTCAGCCCACACTAACCAAACTGTCAGCCCACACTACCGGGATCTCGGCAACCGGGCTGCATTATCTCGGCTGCCAACGGCCGTGTTGCATAACAAGCTAGAGCGCTCCGTTCGCCGAGCTCAACGAGGACCGAGCTCGGTTGCATTCCGGCATAGCCGAGCTGAAAACTGGTCGAGTTGGTAAACCGAAGACCTTTCCAGCCGGGCTGGAAGCGCGAACCATGGGAACAGGATCAGCTTCCATTATCTCGGCCAAATTACCTAATTAGCTCGTTCCCACATAAACAAGCCAAGTAGCTTGGTTCTAGCATGGTCCTGGGCCATTACTGAGCACAAACCCTCTCCGGCTAAGCCCAAGCTACCACGGTCCACAACATGTTTGGCCCATAATTTGTCCGGTCATTACCACAGCCCAATCCAACTCATAAATTTCCCTCTCAAGTCCTATTAGGGAGACTTATGCTACATATGGTCCTACTAAAAAATTTATGTTCCCATAAGTCCTGTGGGAAGTTTGTTGACACATTTACCCTCAATATTAGTTATCAATATCATAAATAATAGTAAAACCATATATAGGAAATTGAATGTTATTATAAATCATATCTATATAAACGTAACGTAACGTAATGTGATGCCTATATAAACATAACGTGACACCTACATAAACGTAACGTGACACCTATGATCTATGGTAACATGCAAAGAAAATTGCATGTTATCATAGATCATATCTACATAAACGTAACGTAACGTGACACTTATATAAACGTAACGTGACACCTATGATCTATGGCAACATTCAATTTCCTATATAGCAAATTGAATGTTACCATAGATCATGTCTACATAAACGTAACGTAACGTGACACCTATAATCTATAGCGACATTCAATTTTCTATATAGGAAATTGAATGTTATCATAGATCATATTTATATGAAACGTAACGTGACACTAACATAAACCAGCAACATTTTTACATTCATTTAAAAAAATAAAAACTCGTTACATTACGTTTATGCAGGTATCACGTTACGTTTATGTAGGTGTTACGTTACGTTACGTTTATATAGGTGTCACGTCACGTTACGTTTATATAAGTGTTACGTCACGTTACGTTTATGTAGGATCTTGTGGAATACATTCCTATCTAAATAGGACTTGAGACTCTATAAGAAATTACACAGGACTTAATCTTCCATAAGTATCTAAAAAAAAACTTGTAAATAATCTCTCTAAAAATTAAAATAACCTATTAAAATAATAACTTCCCAAATTCCCACTACTTTGTTTACTACTCCCTCCGTCCCAAAATATTAGTCCCTTATTCCATTTTTCATTGTCCCAAAATATTAGTCCCTCTTCAAAAATCAAGTACAAAAATAATATAAATGTCCTATTTTACCCTTCTTTCAAATTAATAAACAACATAAAAAGTACAATTATGCATTGATATTCTCAAAAAATGTACTATCAAAAGGATAATTTTGGAAAATCAACTTTTATTATGCATTGATATTCTCAAAAAATGTACTATCAAAAGGATAATTTTGGAAAATCAACTTTTTTCAAATACAATAATTGTACTATCAAAAAAATTGAATTCCCCAAAAGGGACTATTATTTTGGGACGGAGGGAGTAATAATATCCAATAAGAGCTTTACATATTTGTTTATTTTTTTTATTAAAAAAAAAAAAAAACAAGTAAGAAGACAGATAAATATGTTCTTTTCACCACGACCTTCTGTTGTTGTTGGTTGCCACAGTGACTTCGACTTGAAAGAGCCCATCTTTTCATGTCTATTGACATTGATGGTTGATATGTCACTTGGCTTTGTTCATGTCCTCTTTTGACCCTTTATTTTTTATATTCTCCTGTTTAATAGCAGTGTGTGTGCACTGGGTTTTGATTTAAACTTGCATCTGAGAAAGATAGATAGAGAGAGAGAGAGAGTGAGAGAGAATGGGGTCTCTAGGAGGTGAAGTTGCAAACAAAGCAATGTGGCTCTATCCAAAGGTTATGGGTTTTAACCCTACTGAGAGATGGGGGCACTCTTCTTGCTACTCTGATGGATCTATCTATGTCTTTGGGGTATGTATTCTTCTTGGAAAAATTAATTCTTCAATATTTCTTCTATTTTTTAAATTTTTTTAAATTTTTACTTGTCATTGTATTACTTTCATTGTTAATTTTATTTTGGGTAAATTTTGTAATTTATTGTCTTCTATTCCGTGGCATATGGTTATCTTTGGATGATAAAATGTACACTTTCTTGAATGTTTTTAGTTTTTGCTATTTCTCTTCTTTGTATGTTGTTGCCATATTGTCTGAAGTTTTGTCTTTGTTCACTTTCTGTATTAAGTAGGAATTTTGTGTAGTAGCATCACAATAATCCTTACTTTCTTGATAAAGGAATGGATTTTCATTTCCTATATTTTCTATTTTTAGCTCTGTAATTGTTACTTCATAGCTGCCCTGCAATTTATTTCCTTGTAGACATGTTACATGGAATTTTTCCATGGTTTCCAGCAATTTTTGTCGGTGCTTTTACTTCCATAGGATAGATTTATTGTTGGTAATTTTTTTTTTTTAATCTTTGAGAAAATATCAGTAAAATGGTGAATGGGAAATTATTGTCGAATTAGTGGAAAGTTTTAACATACATAGAAGGGAAAAAAATTCAAAGTCATGAATTTGGCTTTGGTTTGACAAAAATGCCCCTCTTCCCTTCACCCTCCTTTTCCCTCTCTTCCTCTTCCCCTATGCAAATCCCTCACCGCCAGCCAATCCTAGCCAATCACCATTGTAAATCGCTCCCACCGTTTGTTGTTGCCCTCACCCCCCACACTCCGACATTTCCCCATCTTCCCTGCCACCCCTAGCCCCTCTCATTCCCACCCCACAACTCTCTCCCCTTGAAATCGCAACCGCCCCCTCACCTTCACGACCCCATGCATGAATTCTATTGGGTGCAAGTGCACCCAATGTAGTTTGCAATTGTAGGGTAGGGAGTAGGGGATTGTAAAGGAAGGGGTTGGGGGTTGGGTGACTAGGGTAGTATGGTTTAAGTGGAAGGGGTTACGGGGTAGGAATGGAGACATTGGGTGTGGCAAAGCAACCAGGGGTGATGGGGAAGATGGTAGGGGTGGTGGTGGAGGAAAGGGTTATTGGGTAGGAATGGAGAGGCTGGGGGCGGCAAAGCAACAAGGGGTGATGGGCAAGATGGAAAGGGTGGCGGTAGAAGAAGGGTGGGGGAGAAGCGGTTGGGTTTGGGGGGTTGTTAGGCTAGTGTGGATCCTAATAAATACTAGACACTAATCACCTGACCGCAAATCCAACTTCACACTTGTGGGGCAACTATTTTTTTTTTTGGTGGTATTTCTGCAATTGTGACTTGTTGCCCTAATTTTTTTTATGTATTCATAATTGAGGGAAGGCAACTATCTCTGTAATCTCTTGTAATCTTTCTGATCATAGTAAAAACAGCAGCAGCCGTGAATATGGTCCTACTTTGGGGTAAACCATGCAAATCTTGTATCCTTTGTGTGTGCATCTAATTTATCTATTTTATGTGCTTGTTCCTTTTTGCATTTCATGTTTCACTGATCTTGATTAGGTATCACGGATTCCTAGTAGAGTGGGGGTGGCAGTTGAAGAATTTGTAGTTGGTTAGCACTGTGATTTTGCGGAGGAAATTAGGAAAGAGGGGAAATGGTTTTCCCAAAACCTGATTCCATGCATTTGAATTTTTTTTTTTCCGTCCTTTCCATTTGCTCTGATATTATTATTGATAATGCCCAAAACCTTTAACAAAGAAGAATATCCTTATTCAAAAGCTTTTTCTTCTTTTAGAATAAAAATCTCAAGAAATTCCAATTTTTCAAAATCAATAACTGATTTTCATTGTCCTAAATTTGAGGGTTGTAAAGAAAGAATTTTTTATTTTAACAAGTAAATGAATTTTTGGTATATAAATACTTAGATTTTATTTCTTTGTTTAAACACATACTTTTCTTTTTTTGTCGGTCTCCCATGATTATTGATTGTTGGTTTTATTTTCCTAAAATGAGACTATGATTATTGATTAGTAAGGTGATCCATGTTTTTGCTATCCCTTTTTTCGCTACAATGGCAAATATGGAGGGAGAATAACTTGAAATTTTATAACCTCTCTGGGAACTGAGCATCATGCATTTCGCAGTTTGCTATGGCACTATGGACTGATATTACTGGATTATATACTTTCCCTTTTTGATTTTGCTAGTTTGTATGCTTTGATGTGCTTTCATTTAATATATATATATACATGTATATTTCCTATGGCCATTTACAAAATGCATAATGTAGAACTTGCATTATACTGCTTGACTTCATCATTGACTATGGTTTTATACTAGTAGAAGATCTTATTTCCCGAATCTGATTTGATCAGTGGATTTTAACTACTTGAGCCGTTATGTCCTAATTTATCCAACAGAAAATGGCAAAGAACCCCGAACCAATAGGGAGAAGAAAAACTCCCTTTTTGAAACATGAGAGAAAGTTATAGAACTTCTAAAGAAGTATAATCTCGATTTCCATCCCAATGCTACATTTAATCTCTTCTCTCTGCCTACCCATTTCAGGGATGTTGTGGAGGTCTGCATTTCAGCGATGTCATCATGATGAATCTTGATACAATGGCTTGGAACACTTTAGTAACCACGGGCCACGGGCCGGGCCCAAGAGACAGCCACAGTGCTGTCCTTGTTGGGCACCGGATGATAGTATTTGGCGGCACAAATGGTTCTAAGAAAGTCAACGACCTTCATATATTGGATCTCAGTTCTCGGGAGTGGACCAAACCTGATTGCAAAGGGATCCCGCCTTCCCCTCGTGAAAGTCACACCGCCACACTTGTTAGTGATGACAAGTTAGTGATATTTGGGGGAAGTGGCGAAGGTGACACAAATTATCTGAATGACTTGCATGTTTTAGACCTCAAGACCATGAGGTGGACTTCCCCCGAGGTCAAGGGTAATGTTCCTGTGCCTCGGGATAGTCACACTGCTGTTGCTGTAGGGAACACGGTTTTTGTTTATGGTGGAGATTGTGGTGATCGTTATGAAGGTGATATTAATATGCTTGACATGGACACATTGACTTGGTCCCGGGTATGAATTTCACCTTTAAATACATGTCTTTTGAGCTAACATCTTGTGAATGTTTGAGATAGTGTGAAGCTTATTGGTTGTATTTTTAATTATTTATTTTTTACTATACAGTTGGTAGTTCAAGGATCTTCGCCTGGTGTTCGAGCAGGCCATGCGGCTGTGAATATTGGACCCAAGGCAAGTAATGTTATTAGTATGTAATAAGTACTTGGTGAACGAGTAAGATGGCATTACAATGCAGTTTTCTTTTTTTTATTTATTTTTATTATAAATTAAGTCCAAATATTGGATGCAACATTTGAAATTGGTCTATTTCGTGTCATGTATTGGGTCATTGTAAGTTTGGAAAATTGTTGTAATTTAAGATTATTTGTGACATTACTGTGTTTTCGAGTGATGTTAAAACTTCATCTTGAATTTTTTGGCCTGTTCAGGTCTATGTCATTGGAGGGGTCGGCGATAAGCAATATTACAATGATGTTTGGGTACTTGATGTGAGTACCTGTTCGTGGACTCAGCTTGAGATACGTGGCCAACAACCACAAGGGCGGTTTTCTCATACAGCCATTTTTAGTGAGACAGACATTGTCATCTACGGCGGGTGAGTCTTGAACAACTCTGTGTCATGGTTGCTTTGCTTTCTGTTGAATTGTTTTTAAGCACTCAAATCTTGATTTTCAATTTTTGTTGGATTTTTCACATCAACAGCCTCTGCAAGACTTTTTCTTTCTTAGTCTCTACAGCTATGTTTGGTTGGGAGATTTGGGGAGGGATTTGGAAAGGGAAAGTGAAAAGGTGTGTGAAACAAAGTGAAATATAGACATGTTTTATTCACATTTTACATACCTTTTCCATTTCCCTTTCCAAATGCTCAACTAAACACAGCATAAAGGAGACTTCTTTCTCACCCTCTCACTTGGGGTTTAATCTTTTTACACAGTGTTGCTTAGGGCTTTGTTTTTTTTCACACTTTCGGAGGCTTCTTTTTCCTTCTCTATGCTTAATATAACCTTTCAAGGCTCATATTTATACTTACAATCAGAGGATTCTAAAGTTCATAATGGTGTTCAACTTTGGAAAAAATTTGTGTTTAGATCTTGAATTTGAGTAGGGAATTGCAGAAAGAAAGGAAATGAGAAGCGAAAAGTGATAAAAATTAAGCTTCTATTTTTGTCCCTTTTCCCTTCTCTTTTCCTTTCCCTCCATAAAATCCCCTCTCAAATACTTGATCCAAGCACAGCCTAAAAGACTTTGACTCATCTCGAAAGTCGGTTTCTCTTTACTAAACATCTTCCACATCATTCAATTTCAGGACTCCCTAGATATTTTGAAAGTTTGAAATTACTTATTCAATACTCTTTTCATAATAGTGAGTTATAAATATTTACTCTTTTTTTTTTTCTTTTCTTAATGTGCTGATTCAAACTTGCAGTTGTGGGGAAGATGAGCATCCTGTCAATGAGTTAATTGTCTTGCAGCTTGGAGCTGAACATCCCAATGGGCGTTACAACATTTCCTTGTGCAAAATTTTTGGAAACCATTGTAACCAAGAAAAAAGACGGCTTTCAAGAGAAGCAAGGAATAAATCGGTATGAAGGACTCATGATTTTTATTAACGGTATCAGAATACATATTGGTATCAATAGTGCAGTCATATATCGGTCAATATCGGACAATATATTGGTGAATATTATTATAGGAAATTTAAAATTCCAATACATATTGGCCGATAAAACCCTGGATGGACTACACTAGAAATGCATAATTGACTCCTTTTAATTTACTATTTTCGGAGGATAAGAGAAACTTATATCTCTGCTTTATAGCAGAGGACCATATTGTTGGGGAATAATGGAGATGTAGTCGGAAAGAAAGCTCGTGAACCGGAATTAGTGTCAAAGCAGCCTTTACAAATTAATTCAGGTTGGATTACAAAAATTAACATCTATATATGAAAATTATGCATGGAGATTTAATTCTAATATTATGTTTCGTTGTTCTTTAAGATGCTTTGCATCCTAAGAGGAAAAGAACAAGCAATTCAAAGATATGGGAGATAGAATCAGAACCCGAAGAGCATTCTCTTTCGTTGTCCCAACACTCATCTCCATCACAATCTGATCAAGAACAGACCCCAGTCAAAAAAGCCGCTCATTCAGTCATTGCTTCTCAAGTATTTCCTCTATTTAAGCAACAAAATCAGACACCAAGCAATGGCCATTCTAACAATGCCCCAAGTAACCAAGTGAACCCTAAAAATTTTGTTCAAAGGAGTCCACAGGATTTCCATTTCTTGAAAGAACACCCAAACCAGCCAAACTCTGAACAGTATCTTCGTGTTGTTCATATGGGGAGACATGAAGCACAATACCTAGCCACCGAACAGAAACCCTTGGAGGCGGGACCCTTCCAAAACTTGGTAAATTATCAAATTTTTCTTCAAGTTCTTGAATTTATTTAGCATTTACACATAATAGTGTGTTATTTATGGATGTATACGTAAAAACTTCATTGCCAAAGAGTACTTTTCCCCAACAAAATAAGAGTATCATCACAAAATGCTAGGTATCATGAAAGAAACATTATGAAAAGCTTCATGAAGGTTCTCCACCCTTGGATTACACACAATAAAACACCACACACTAATCAAAGGATGGAAAAGCATTATGAAACATTTCATGGTATTTTTCCATGATATCTAGTATTTGTATTAGATGAATAATGTGATATTACTTCTTATTTGCTTTTTTCTAGTCATAAGTCATTAAAGTTCAAGTTCCTGGAACACATTTAAAGTGTTCTCCTTATTTATTAGCTTATTTTTAATAGTGATTTGTTGGTTTTAATAATTATTTGAGTCATTTAAACCTGATTTGAACTGACTGCTTAGAAATTCATGCTTATCATTTGAACTTATATTAATTCTTCCATTAGGTTGGCGCTGAGATTCGAGGTAAAATTGATGGAGCTTTCGACTCTGGTTACCTTATGACAGCAACTGTCAACGGAAGGATTTTTAGAGGCGTCCTATTTGCTCCAGTAAGCTCTCAAATTTTTTTGAACAATTCATAGTCTTTCATACTTGTTTAACTTGATTCTGAAACTAAATTTATCAACCAGGGACCCGAGGTTGTCTCAAGAGGTGCCACTCTAGGTCAAAACCCCTCAACCCTATCTAGCCAGAGAGCTAATGTTGCTCAACCGTGCGCTCCACACGTGAACCACGTCAGTCCCACTTTTATAAGGCATCCACGGCAACCAACAACACATTCTGTGCCGGAATCGGGCCAGAACCTCCGGCAAGCTCATATTGCTCGACCGTCTCCGGTCATTAGAGCTGCTTCATCTATAGGCAAAGAGCCCAAGCTCAGAATTGATCTTCAAGGAGTGGATTTGACACTGGGAAGTCCTGGAACTGGTCATGGTGGATCGTAGTTAGGTGAATATGAACACGCGTGTTTGATGACTGAAAACCAGCTCAGTTCGTGGTTTTTTTTTTTTTTGGGTGGTAATATCTTGATTTAGAGTGAATTTTATTTTTCTTCTCAGATATGGTTCCAAAGTTCAGGCTTTTGAGAGTTAGGTAAGTTGGTCTGCAGTTAAATCTTCCTTGATCAGTGGTTGATCCAAATGCTGTTAGCTTATGTATTATGATATTTGTAGTTTTTTTTATTTATTTATTATTATTATTAAGATTGCTCATGTATATTGCTATCTATTTACGGGGAGAAAATCTATAGGAGTATATTTCACTTTTTCTTTATTCGGAAAAAGGACTGCTATAACTTTAAAAAGTAGTTGATTTTCATCTTCTTTTTCTTTCTTTTTTTCTTTTTAATTTTCATCTTGTTGATTTTCATCTTTATAGGATAATAAAGTGGTATTTGATAAAGTTGAAAATTGAAAATTAAAAAATGAAAATCAAGTATTATTGAAAATTAAATGTTGAATTTTTTAAGTTGAAAAGTTGTTTGATTAATGTTTAACTGTTAAATTAAAATAAGTTGTTTGGTATATATAAGATTATATTTCAAATTTATTAATTTAAATTTTTATATTGTGAAGGTGAGTTTAGTGGTGGTAGAGGAGGAGGAGGTGTTAGTTATGGTACCAATAGCAATGATAGTGTACCAATACAATAGGAATGAAAGTGGAAATATTGGAGATATGGAGATAGAGAGGGATAATGGTTGTGGTCATGGTGGAAGGGTAATGTGGTAGGGATAAAAAGATTGTGGTGGCATTGATGTAATAATGGTTATTGTGGTGATGGAATGATAGTGGTAATTATGATATCGGTGATAATAGTTATGGAAATGAAGAGTTGTAGTTGTATTAAAGGCCGTGGCCACTATAGTAGTAGTGATATGATGGTGGTAGTGAAATGATAGTGATGTTATAGCAGCAATGACAATGATGATGAAGGTGGCGGTGGGGTGGTGGCAGTGGCAATAGTGGCGGCGATGGTGATGGTTGAAGTAGATAAATAAAAAAAAATAATTAATTAAAAAAAATAATGTACTTTTTTATATTTTAACTAATAAAAAATTATTTGTATAATCAGAGTTGTTCTAAGACTACATCAAAGTCTCAAACTTTATTTATTTTTTATTTTATTTTATTTTGAAAAATGATATATGTACCTCTTTTTTCACACTATTTTACGTACTCACATGGGTGTAGGTCTCGAAAAAAAAAAATATTAAGTGTAATGGTATGTGATATCATCGGTTAATAAAAAGTTAGTAGGCTCCGTTTGGAAAGAGCTAGATTGGATTTTTTTTTTGCTATTTTAGCTACAAAAAACAAAACAGGCTATTTTAGCCACAAAAAATAAAACATCACATCCAATCCAAAATCATTACATTCTTCTCTCACAAAAGAAGTTAAAAAAGTCAAAAAGCTCTTCCCAAACTAAGCTTTTTAGCCCAGGCTAAAATAGCCAAAAAAATCAAAAAGTCAACCCACTTCCCAAACCAATCCTAAGATCTATTTTGAGAAAAAGTTAATTTTTTTATTTATTTTTTAAATGTGCAAAAGAGTAGAGATTGATGTGATTTAAAAAAGTTAAAAAACTAACTTTTAACTAGTTTCCAAAATATGCCTAAGAGAGCTAGATTGGATTTTTTTTGGCTATTTTAGCTACAAAAAACAAAACAGGCTATTTTAGCCACAAAAAACAAAACATCACATCCAATTCAAAATCATTACATTCTTCTCTCACAAAAGAAGTTAAAAAAGTCAACAAGCCCTTCCCAAACTAAGCTTTTTAGCCCAGGCTAAAATAGTCAAAAAAAATCAAAAAGTCAACCCACTTCCCAAACCAATCCTAAGATCTATTTTGAGAAAAAGTTAATTTTTTTATTTATTTTTTAAATGTGCAAAAGAGTAGAGATTGATGTGATTTAAAAAAGTTAAAAAACTAACTTTTAACTAGTTTCCAAAATATGCCTAAGGTCTCGTTTGGGAACATGTTATTTTAGTAACTTTTTGATTTTTTACGAAAAGATGTGCAGAAAAATAGAGAGGTGATGTGACTAGTTTTAGTTGGCTTTTTGGCTTATTGGCTAAAATAGCCACTCCCCAAACGAGGCCTAAGTCGATAAGTTTTGTCTTCAATTAACAAAATATTATTGTGGTTCTTACTGCAAAATCAAAATTATTCATTGAATAATAATACCACTACGTGATATCGATGTTACATCTAATATTTACTCATAGATCTCCATAATGTATATCTCACATTCATTTACGAAAATGTGTAAATTAGACGTTTTTGGGATGTCTCAAAAATGTGTTTAACATGTCCTAAAAAAAACTAAAGAATCTTTGTACCAATTTGAAAAGATCACATTACCCTCATAAGTGTATAGATATTTACACTTCTAGATTGTAAAATGCAAAATTCAAGTAAAAAATAAAAGTCGACATTAGTCATTCATATTTTTTTATACAACTAAAAAAATATTCCCAAACATAGCCTCTATTAGTTTGGTTCTCAAAATCTACTTTTGAAAATAATTCAATACTAATTTAGTGAAAAAATAATATATCAAAAACTATCATCATTTTCTTATGATTTTACGTTGGTTTTTATTTTTTATCAAGTTAATTTCTATTTTTTTAGAAAAAATTTGGAAAACTAATTCTAAAATTAAAACCAAACAGAACAAAAACTTTTTTATTTTCTCTCTTAAAAAACTAGAACAACCAATTCTTAGAAAAAATTAATTCCAAACACTCACTTAAGAATGTTTGGCATTCAGCTAAAAAAAGTTAAAAAAAAAATTTAAATTTTTTTTTTTATCTTTAGTGATTTTTTTCAAAATTAGACAAATCTAAAAACTAAAAAAAATTAAATTTCTCTAAAGACAAAAAAAAGTCAAAAAAAGCAATCAGTTTGTTTGGTTTTAGTTTTCAGAAAACACTTTTTAAAATTTTTTATTTTTTGTGTTTCGTATTTTTTTGTTTTCAATAATTTTTTTTAATATTTAAAGTAATTTTTTTAATTTTTAGACACATCTAACATAAATACACTTAAAAAATTAAAACATTCACTAAATACCAAAATTATAAAAAAAAATTACAAAAAATTTAGTACATTTTTCATATTTTTATGTATTTATTAATTTTTTAAAATATTTTTTCATAAATATTTTGCTATTTAAATATATCTAAGTATGACGCATATAAAAAAGTAAAAAAAATTGCTTAAAATTTTAAAAATATTCACTAAAAGTAAAATAAAAAACACAAAAAACAAAAAAAACTCAATTTTCAGAAAACTGAAACCAAACACACTTAATTATTTTGGGTTTTTTTTTTTAATCCTTGCTGGACTTTCTTTCAAAAAAAAATAAAAATAAATAAATAACTTTTGCAAAAGCATAAAAATAAAAACAGCAATGATAGGGACCCCCTTTGTGGAGGACCCCCACAACCCCCTTTGTGATCCACACCATTCATGATGTGGACCCCACACATACATGAGTGGACCCCACACATCATGAATGGTGTAGATAAGTAAGGGGGTTGTGGGGGTCCTCCACAAAAGGGGGTCTAACTCATTTTTCAAATAAAAAATCACGAAAAAGCTTGATGTGTAAAAGAAAAAATGCAGAGTACTACTACCTACTTCAACTATTGTCTCCTATCATTTTATCCACTTGAACTAAAAATTGTACTAACATTTAACTCCCCTTATCTATTAAACTTTTTCAGTTTAGACCTTAATGCTGAAAATACCTATAAGGGTAAATTACATTATACCCCCTTAAACTATCACTCAATACGACTATATCTTTTCAACTAAAAAAATTGTTTGATTTTTAAGTGATAATACAGCTTTGAGTTTTTTTTTCCCCCTATATTTTTGTTTTAGTAAAAATTTTCATATTTTATTCTAAAGTTTTAAATTTTTGGATGCATGTAAAAAGTAAATATTTGTGAAGAAATTTTTTAAAAATTCACTAAAAATAAAAAACAGAAAATAGAAAAAAAATGGTATATTTTAAATTTCTTCATAAATAATTTTTATTTTTAAATTCATCTAGATTAGATGAACCTAAATTTTTTTTAAAAAAAAAAATTAACTAAAGAATGAAAGAAGTTCACTAAAAAAAAAAAAATAGTGTTTAAAAACCAATCAGATTGATAATGTCATTTTAGATATTCTATTCGAGATGTCATGTGTAAGTCACATGTTAATTTTTCATCTTTCTAAGAGACAAATCCTTAAGAAAATATTTATATTGATATTGATATAAATTTATAATTCAAAGTGGTAAAATGTATAATTGTTTAGTCAGCTTTGAGTTTTTTTTTCCCCCTATATTTTTGTTTTAGTAAAAATTTTCATATTTTATTCAAAAGTTTTAAATTTTTAGATGCATGTAAAAAGTAAATATTTGTGAAGAATTTTTTTAAAAATTCACTAAAAATAAAAAACAGAAAATAGAAAAAAAAATGGTATATTTTAAATTTCTTCATAAATATTTTTTATTTTTAAATTCATCTAGATTAGATGAACCTAAATTTAAAAAAAAAAAAATTAACTAAAGAATGAAAGAAGTTCACTAAAAAAAAAAAAATAGTGTTTAAAAACCAATCAGATTGATAATGTCATTTTGGATATTCTATTCGAGATGTCATGTGTAAGTCACATGTTAATTTTTCATCTTTCTAAGAGACAAATCCTTAAGAAAATATTTATATTGATATTGATATAAATTTATAATTCAAAGTGGTAAAATGTATAATTGTTTAGTTGAGAGGGTAAAGTGATATTGGGTGACAGTTTAATGACGGTAAAGTGTAATTTATCTTATTGATGAATGGGTATTTTCATCATAAAGGTCTAAATTAAAAAAAATAAATATTAGCAATTGAGGGGGTGAGATGTTACAATTTTTAGTTGAGGGATAAAATGATACCAGACAATAGTTAAGGAAATAAAGTGCAATTTATAAATAAATAAAAAAGGAATACTCAATTTGGGTCAATTATACTAAACTCACTTAAATTATGACTCATTTGCATTTTATTTCCTGAATTTCAAAATGCAATAATTAACCATCTCGAATTATTATCATGTTACACTTTAACACCTTCTGTTATAATCTTGTCTTGAGATTTAAACGGACCAAGTTATATATGAAACGCATGACACACTTATCGATTTTTTAAGATAATAATACTCGTTATTGATTTTTTTAAGACAACAATACTCTTATCTAGTGATCTCATTTGCACT